GTGTGTGTTTTGTGTGAGGAGAAGCTGTGTGAGAGTGTATATGTGTGTAGCTGTGTGGTGGATATGGGGGTGTATGAGGGTGTAGAGCAGGGGTGTCCAATCTTTTAGCTTCCTCGGGCCGCATTGGAAGAATTGTCTTGCCACACATTAAAAAAATACAATAACACTAACGATAGCTGATGAGCTAAAAAAACCCTCAAAGTCCTGAGCTGCATGGGGGCTGTGGGTTGGACAAGCTTGATGTGAAGAGTGTGTGTGTCGGGCTCAGCACCACCGCCCACTGCACCGGAGCTTTGCTGCCATCTGATCTTGCACCTCCATTTACTTTTCTTCCTAATGAGTCATCAGATTTCTCTGATTGAAATAAATTTTTTTTACCATCAGATCTGTCTGCTCCCCGGTTATCCAAAGCCAAGGAGATCGGGGCTGATTTAGTCCTCCAGATCTCCAAGGAGAGCCCTCAGGAAATCGCCAGTAAGGTAGAAGGTCTGCTGGGATGCAAGCCGGAAGTCACCATTGAGTGCACCGGGGCAGAGGCCTCCATCCAGGCGGGCATCTACGTGAGTGGGCTGAGGGCAGCTTTCAGGAATCACTGTAGGGGAGTAAAGGAGGCAGAAGTAGGGAGTGAAGCTTCTTTACCAACTTGCTGTGTGGACCCCAAGCCAAAATGGTTCATTTTTTGCTATCTCTGTTTTCTTATCTCAAACTTGCCTTACATCCTCATTGGGCCATCTGAGGGTCACACAAGATAACAGCTGTACGTGAGCCTTGAAAAAGGTTAAGGACACACGCCTTTGGGATGGGCTTGGCTTCGTGACAGGAAACCATGTCTTAATTTAATGTGGGAAATCCCTATCTTATTTTATTGAGGAAAACTGTAGCCTTCTAGTCATTGATCTAAAGTGACAGTCATGAATTCAGTTAGTTATGAAGGTGAAGTGATTTTCCAGGGTCACAGCAGGCTACTGCTTGTATTGTGTCCCAGAACTAGGAGCATATAAGCTGCCAATGCCTGACTCACCCCTCAGTGACCTACCAGCCACTTATGGGACGTTGCCAGGAAGTAGGGGTGGTGGGAAGGAGTGGCGTTGACAGATCGAAGGATGAGGAAAAGAGGGCAAAAAGAATAAGTTCCAGGTTCCAGGCCCTACAGTATGCCAGGTTCTCTGCTCTACTTTATGAACATGATTTATACCTTTGCATAATACGCCTGAAAATCAGTTACCATTATATGCTGAGGGATTTGTGGTTTGTTTGAGGCAAGCCAAATCTTGCCCAGGCCCAGGCCCAGCCCTGCCAGGCCCCAGTGCCTGAGCTGCTTTGCTACTTAGGAGAGGAAGGGAAGGAGGGGACCAGCAACCATGAGAGGGTGGGGAGGACGGAGACTGTCCCTGGGGAGGGTAGCAGGCAGCTGCCACCACAGGGAACTCCCGCCCTTGCCTCCCAGACAGCTTCCCCACGGTAGCGTGGACTTCCTCCTTCCTTCTGAGTCACAGCTGATTCATGCATGAGGGCACTTCGCATCACATGAGACATTCTAGGGAAGGCTGACCCACCAAGCTGAGTAGCAGAGCTACCTTGACCTCCTCCTGCAGAGTTGCCCAGTGGCCTTGGGAGCTGAGGAGCGGTGATGGAGAGGGAGGAGTGGGTGCCATCTTGGCACTGTCCTGAGTTTCAGCTGGAGTCTGCCAGCCCTCTGCTTCACTGTCAGGGACAGTGGTCACCATGTGGGAAAGGGCAAAAACAAAAAGCTAAAGCTTAGAGAGGAACAACGGGTCTGTGCGTGACTGATCTACCCAGGGTATGTCTTAGGTACTGCTATGTGCCAGGCTCTGTGCTGGGCACTTTGAGGGCTAAGACATGAGTAAGTCGTGTCTACTGTCTTCAACTTGTCAGCAGGTCAGTGACCTCCACACCACAGAGACAGTATAAGCTGGGGGACTTAAAGGACATGGCCCTCCTTCCTCTTATGCCCCGCTCTTAGAGCACTTGGGACAGTTGGCATTTCCAGATGCTGATGGTGGAGGCCTGGTTGCCAGGCTACCTGAGGCAGGCATGGAGGTGTGTGTAACCCATGGGCCTCACCAGGCCTGAAGCAGTGTCTCTCTTGATGTAGGGAGTGGAACTGTCACGCATGACAGGTGCTGTAGAATGCTACAGGCCACCCCGCCAATGAGCAGGTTAAGTGACTGCATCAAATATGGACATATCTGGGCATCACCGTCCTGCCAGGTTGTGACTGGATAGTGTTTGTGATGAGACGTTGCAAATGCTTTGGGGCAGAATTGATGTCCTTTCCGTGGTGCAGAGGCCATAGCTACAGGACAGTGTCCAAGTGGTTCCAGCATTCCTTGACCTGTGGCCAGCACACTGCTGGCATCTTGGCATCTTGGGATGGCCAGTTGGTGTTCCTCCTTATCACCAGGTAGAGAGGAAGTACTGATGAGGAAGTAGTTTCCCTGGAAAATGGGCTGAGAGGGCACGTCCAGGGTGCAACAGCTCTGAAGCAGCCGCACCGGGAGTCACACCCACACCACCCGAACCCCGAGTTCACCTCTTGCCCATGGCACCGCAGGCCTCGCTCTGTGTGTATCCTTCCTCTCAGAGGTGGAGGCTGTGACGTGTGCCTTTCTCTAGTTTCACTGTTTAGCACCTACAGTGGTCCCAATAAATGCTTGCTACTGACCATCATCAACACCCAGCGTGAATGAATTGTGCCTTGTCCTGTCTCTCACCACACTTAGCACAGTAATCCCCAGAAAGCCATGGAACAGGCACAGCCCTCACAGGGAGTTCTGGGGAAATTGTCAGGAGAAATTTTTACTGTCACCTCTGACCCATTCCAAGGGGAGAACTGATAAGCCAGATAAACATTCAAGGAAGACAAAACCCATTATGGCTCATGCTGTTGAGGTAAACATCTCTGGAACATAAAGGTTTCTCACTGCCAGCCTGCACGCACGTACACAGCATTTTTTAAACCACAGAATACAAGTGGCCCATCTGTACCATGTTTATAGTTTCCTCACCACCGGTGAGCTCAGAGGGCGGGTGGTTCCTTCGAGCTCTGATGAAAGTGCTGACAGCGGAGGGGCGCTCTGGGGGTGCTTCCACAGGTCCTGACTCTGGAAGTGGCTGAAGCCAATATTGGGTCTCGAATCTTTGGAAGGCGTTCCCACTGTGCCCGATTCTCCATGGGTTAAGTGTATTTTTCAGAAGCTTTAAAGAAAACAGTGTTTACTCTGCCATTTGGTTGGCAGGTTGAGCAGTTCAGCAGTATACAAAAGTCATATTCTCTGGAATTTTTGGATGCTCAGCTGATGCAACCGGCAGCTACTTGTGTGATGACAGTATGTTATTTTAAGTGGGAAGTCAGTGTCTGCTTATCTTCTGCGCTTTCTTGTTTTTACCTCCTTTTCAGGCCACTCGCTCTGGTGGGACCCTGGTGCTTGTGGGGCTGGGCTCTGAGATGACCACTGTGCCCCTAGTGCATGCAGCCACCCGGGAGGTGGATATCAAGGGCGTGTTTCGATACAGCAACACGTGAGTATGCTTCGGGTGAGCAGGATGTCCAGCTTCCAGCAAGACCAGGTCAGGCCCCACTCAGCCTCTGGGCCTACCAGTCTCTGCCTGCTTGTTCATGGGGGTCACTCTCTGGCCACACTGACAGCTGTGTGATATAACAGGGATCCAAAGGAAGAACACTCACTCCCAGTTAAAGAATGGGAGGGACAGAAGGATGGATGGAGTGAGGGAGGGGATTTTGAAGCACGCTCTTGCTGGGTGTCTGCTGCTTATCCTCCCCAGAACCCTTGAAGGTTGAGTATAATGCTCATGCTCTTTTACAGGTGGCCAATGGCAATTTCGATGCTTGAGTCCAAGTCTGTGAACGTAATGCCACTCATCACCCATAGGTTTCCTCTGGAGAAAGCTCTGGAGGCCTTTGAAACATCCAAAAAGGGATTGGGGTTGAAAGTCATGCTCAAGTGTGACCCCAATGACCAGAATCCCTGATGTGAATTGGCTCTGCCCTCATCCTCAGTCTTGGGAATCTCAGGACAGAATGGCTGGACAGGGGTGGGCTTTGATGCAGAACTTTCTGTCCTGAATGTTAAGAACAATTAATACAATTCATTACAAACAGAAGGCCTTACACAGAGGAATTGGTGTGCCTTAAAGATACAATTTGGGATAGTTTTGGGGAACTTGTAGCCAGAATGACCTGTTAATGCTGAGCAAAGTGCAGCAAGTAGAGCAAAGTTTGGCAGGCAGGTGCCAGGAAATTCCCTTCTTCCTGGAGTGCCTTCCTTGAGTAAGGAAGTCTGGCCCTTGGGTTTCCTGGTTCCACTGCTAATGACTAGGAGGGGAATGAGGGCTGAGTTATAAAGAGACAACTTCTTGAAGACTTAACGGGCCCAGAAGCGGATTTTCATGGAAATCTGCTACTCAGGGTCTGGGATGAAGGCTTGTCAGCACTTTCAGTTTAGAATGCAATGTTCCTAGAGACACATTGGCTATTTGGTTTGATGATAAAAGGAGAATAAAAAAAGGCATCACTTTCCTGGATCCAGGATAATTTTAAAACCAACCAAATTAATATAATTCATTATATTAATATATTAAAGGCTATAGGTTAAACCAGCTTGCATTCCCCTAATATGGAAAAATTAAGAGGGCTTCTCAGCACTGTGTGAAGATTGCCTCTTCTTCAACTCCTGAGAATTGTGTTACTTCACTTGCCAAGTGAAGGACCCCCTCCCCGACATACCCTGCCCCACCTCCAGGCATGGTCCCTTGTCACCAGGCAGCCAAGAAACTGCTACCTACGGACATCACCAGAGACCAGGAGGGTTTGGTTGGCTCACAAGACTTCCCTACCCTGCAAGATTATCATCCCCTCCTAGGCTCATACTCACTGATAATTATTAGACAATTCCATTTCTTTCTGGTTATTATAAACAGAAAATCTTTCCTCTTCTCATTGCCCATAAAGGCTCTTGGTATCTTTCTGTTGGAATGATTTCTATGAACTTGTTTTATTTTCATGGTGGGTTTTTTCCTGGTAAGATTTGGATCAAAATCACATCATGCCCATTTGTGACTTCAAGATTATTCATCAAGAATGAGGATATAGTAGCCATGACATAGCTTGAACTATGACCTTTAATCCCTTACTTTGGCTGCAGGTGGAGGGTGAGTTTGAAGAGGTTCTGATTTTCTTGTAACTTGGGAAAGCCATGTCCTTGTGCCTCAATCTTTCAAAGTGCTTTGGGTAATAAATATTGTTCATGGTATCTGACTCAAGCTACTCTTTATGCCGCTGTTTAGGGAGGAATGGACTTAGGTTACCCATTTCCCAGAGGGAAGGATCCTAGGATTTTTGAAGGTGACATATTTTCTGCACCAAGTATAATTTCGACATGAATCATCTCTAATCCTCACAACAAGCCACGTACACAATCACTTTGTAAGTAAGGAAAATATTAAGTGCCGAAAGAGTCCTTAAGATTGTTTAACACAACCCTTCAGTTAACAAGGGAGGAAACTGAGGCTCAGATTGGGGAAGTGACTTGGCACATCACACAGTGGGTTAGTCAATGGCCCAGGATCAGACAGAGCCCAGGAATCCTGGCATGAAATTCTTCACAACATGCTGCCTCTGAGAGGCCTGAGGGGTCCAGTTCTAGAGGACAAATGATGCTCCCCATGCCACCACCCCCACCAAGCAGCTCCTACTGATGAGAAAATGCACTAAGCAGTCTTGGTGGGAACATCATCCTCACACCCTGCGCCCACTTGCAGGTGCCTAGGGAAGGAGCTCAGTGTCTGCTTCAGTCAGGGCTTTAAGAGGAGAAGGAAGCTAGGAGTGAAGGGCAGAGGCTTCACCAGAGAATGTCCACTGGTGACTTGGAGACAGTTCCTGCAGACTATGCACTCCTACCCAAGCCATTTCACTGCTGCCCCTTCATCATTGTCCTCCCTGAGCCCTAGGAAGAAGTCTGTTTGCAAGATGGCCCCCAAAGATGACCCTGACCAGTCCCCACCACCTGTAGCCAGACTCAGCCTTGGTCCCAGCTAGCTTCTAGTAGTGAGCATTGCTTCCCTGTTATTTGACCTCCGTACTTTGAGCCTAGGTTGACATAAGCAGGGGACAGTTCTTAGAAAAGGCAAATATCCCATAAATCCTATTTGCCTCCTCTTCTCCTAACGTCTGGCTCCACCAACTCCCCAATAGGACTTCTGTACACACAATAGGAGCCAGGAGTGAGGATGGCAGGACTGTGCTACACAAGGGAGACTGGGTGGGGAAGATGTCACAGAACAAGTGACTGAGTCCAGAGGTGACCTCACACCAGCATCTGCAGCCAGAGGTGGGATGCAAGAGGGAATTTCTGGCACCAACATGTCCCCTTTCTCCTCTGGGGTTTGTGGAGCAGCCCGCTGCTTGCTACCCTCCCGGTTTCCCATAGGGTTCTTCCCAGCTCTCCACCCTGACACTCCTTCACTTCTTAGCACTGGTGGTGCTGACTGGGTGGGGTCCTCAAGTGTTGACTGAAAGCATAAGCCAATTGCCAGGCACTGCTGACAGAGCACACAGAGGCTGCCTCCCAAGGTCAGGGAGCTTGTGGGGAATTCACACTCTTGGTTCCGGGAATGATATCACTGAGTCAATCAATATTGATTGAGCACTTAGGTGGTAGTGGTGGTGGTGGTGGCAGGAATGAATTCCTGGGCTTCCTGCAGCCCCTTCCATGAATCTCTACACATATAAAATATGTACATGCATTTGTAAACATTAATGTGAGTGTACTTTACTTTTTTCGTTTTACTTATAACAGATAAGGACTTTTATTTTATTTTTTTGAGACGGAGTTTTGCTCGTTACCCAGGCTGGAGTGCAATGGCGCGATCTCGGCTCACCGCAACCTCCGCCTCCTGGGTTCAGGCAATTCTCCTGCCTCAGCCTCCTGAGTAGCTGGGATTACAGGCACGCGCCACCATGCCCAGCTAATTTTTTGTATTTTTAATAGAGACGGGGTTTCACCATGTTGACCAGGATGGTCTTGATCTCTTGACCTCGTGATCCACCCGCCTCGGCCTCCCTAAGTGCTGGGATTACAGGCTTGAGCCACCGCGCCCGGCCTAGGACTTTTAAAAAAATCATAATTTTCATGCCCACCCAGGACACCAAAAAATAAAAATAAATAAAATTTTAAAAATCACAATTATTAAATAATTCTCATTACTATACCTGACAAAACTAATGGTAATTTCATAACAGCTAATACCCAATCAATCCATGCCATGTTTTCCCTAACCTAAGAAGAAATAGAAAAAATTACTTTTTTTCTTTTTCTTTTTCTTTTTTTTTTTTTTTTTTTTTTTTCAAAGGCAGGGTGTTGATCAGAGTCACTGCAATATCAAACTCCTGGGCTCAAGTGATCCTCCTGTCTCAGCCGTTGGGGTAGCTGGAATGACAGGCACGCACCACCATGCCTGGCTACTTTTAAAAAAGTTTTTGGTAGAGAAAAAATATTTAAAAGGTCTCACTATGTGGCCCAGTGTGTTCTTGAACTCCTGGCCTCAAGCAATCTTCCTGCCTCAGCTTCCCAAAGCACTGAGATCACAGCATAAGGCACCATGCCCAGCCAAAACTTTACTTTTTTACACTTGCTTTTCTGGAATCAGGATGTAAACATATTGCATATGGTTGATATATGAAGCCTCTTTTATCTTTTATTTTTTCTTCTTTCTTTTTTTTTTTACCCACCATTTATTTATTTTATTGCATTTTAGGTTTTGGGGTACATGTGAAGAACATGCAAGATTGTTGCATGGGTACACACGTGGCAGTGTGATTTGCTGCCTTCCTCCCCGTCACCTACATTTGACATCTCTCCCCTTGCTATCTCTCCCCAGCTCCCCATCCCCCCCATCCCTCCCCTATTTCCCCCCAACTGACCCCAGTGTGTAGTGCTCCCCTCCCTGTGTCCATGTATTCTCAGTGTTCAACACCCGCCTATGAGTGAGAACATGCAGTGTTTGATCTTCTGCTCTTCTGTCAGTTTGCTGAGAATGATGGTTTCCAGGTTCATCCATGTCCCTACAAAGGACACAAACTCATCATTCTTGATGGCTGCATAATATTCCATGGTGTATATGTGCCACATTTTCCCTGTGCAGTCTATCATTGATGGGCATTTGGGTTGGTTCCAGGTCTTTGCTATTGTAAACAGTGCTGCAATGAACATTCGTGTGCACATGTAGAATGATTTATAATCCTTTGGATATATACCCAGTAATGGGATTGCTGGGTCAAATGGAATTTCTATTTCTAGGTCCTTGAGGAATCGCCACACTGTCTTCCATAATGGTTGAACTAATTTACACTCCCACCAACAGTGTAAAAGTGTTCCTATTTCTCCACATCCTCTCCAGCATCTGTCGTCTCCAGATTTTTTAATGATCGCCATTCTAACTGGCGTGAGATGGTATCTCAATATTGTTTTGATTTGCATTTCTCTGATGACCAGTGATGATGAGCATTTTTTCATATGTTTGTTGGCCTCATGTATGTCTTCTTTTGTAAAGTATCTGTTCATATCCTTTGCCCACTTTTGAATGGGCTTGTAAGTTTTTTTCTTGTAAATCTGTTTTAGTTCTTTGTAAATTCTGGATATCAGCCCTTTGTCAGATGGGTAGACTGCAAAAATTTTTTCCCCTTCTGTTGGTTGCCGATTCACTCTAATGACTGTTTCTTTTGCTGTGCAGAAGCTGTGGAGTTTGATTAGGTCCCATTTGTCTATTTTGACTTTTGTTGTCAATGCTTTTAGTGTTTTGGTCATGAAGTCTTTGCCTACACCTATGTCCTGAATGGTTTTGCCTAGATTTTCTTCTAGGGTTTTTATGGTGTTAGGTCTTATGTTTAAGTCTTTAATCCACCTGGAGTTAATTTTAGTGTAAGGTGTCAGGAAGGGGTCCAGTTTCTGCTTTCTGCACATGGCTAGCCAGTTTTCCCAACACCATTTATTAAACAGGGAATCCTTTCCCCATTGCTTTTGTCTGGTTTGTCAAAGATCAGATGGTTGTAGATATGTTGTGTTACCTCCAAGACTTCTGCTCTGTTCCATTGGTCTATATCTCTGTTTTGGTACCAGTACCATGCTGTTTTGATTACTGTAGGCTTGTAGTATAGTTTGAATTCCGGTAGTGTGCTGCCTCCTGCTTTTTTCTTCTTTCTTAAGCCTCTTTATTATAGCTCTCCCTACATTTTGTTTTACATGCCATTGTTATGTTGAAGAAATCAGGTCCTTTGTTTTCTTTTTAAAAAATTTTTTTTTCTGTCCAGAATTCCTGGAGGGTCCTTTGTTTTCTAGATGCTGTTTTTCAAATGTACTTGTTTTCATTTAATAAATGGCTAAATTTCTTTCTACATCAATAATTATACATATTATTTTAAATCACCACATCCCATTATACAGATATACTAACATCTATAAAGCAAATCGCAATATTTTGAGTGTTTGGATAGTTTACAGAGTTTTGCTCTTATAATAAAGCTGCAATGACTACCCTTGTTTTTGTGCTCCTGACTTCTTATTTCCTGATGTTATTAATATGTTATTTCTTGAAGTTGCATTTTAGAATGAAAATAGTTGGGGTGAAGGGTACACACATTTTTAAGGTGACCTGGTTACACAAGAAAACACAGTATTGACATTAAGACTGTCTAAGAAAATCTCTGTGGGTACCCCAGGCCATGTATGATGTGGGAGGACTCTGGGGTCTTGGGTAGCTCACAGGGGCTGCTGAGGATGAGGCCATGAAGCTACTGGCTGTCAGGCTTCAAGCCACTCTTGGGAAAGTAGGGGCTTGGACTCATAAACTTGGACAGATTGCCAATTTTCCAGGCCTCAGTTTCCTTATTAGTAAAATGGGTGGCCCCTTTTGGCTCTGGGACTACTGCCAGGACATTACAACAAACAGCTCCTGTAAAGGACTGGCACAGAAATCATAGGGAACCATGGCCCAGCTACTGTGGAGCAGTGAGCCCCCCATCAATGAACTGGTACTGGAAGCCTTCCCCTACCCCTGCCCCTCTACCTCAATTCCAGGGGACACTGGGTACCATTCACCAAACCTTTTTTTTCTCCCCCAGGTTTATCTTACAACCAAACCCAAGCAGAGGCTGCCCCACCCCAACACCCATTTTACACAAGGGGGGAATGCCAATCAGAATGCAGGAGCATGGCTCCCTCACCTCTCACCACCTCCATTGCTCAGGGCACTGTGGGGAGGGAAAATCCCATCTCAGCCCCATACACTTCCAGAGTTCCCAACTAGAGGCATCCTGCAACAGTTACACCAGACCTGGGCTCACTGACACGGTTGGGATGGAAGAGGCTGGGCGAATGGCAACTTCAGCTAACCTTGAGGCTGCTGTGTTCATTCTTCCCCACTGGGCCTCAGGAGGGTGAGGATCCCTGATCCCCATGGCACACAAGGAGAGGGCACAGAAGGAAGAAGCCAGAGGGAAGCAAAACAGCCCAGGAAACTTGCCCACCTACAGAGAGCAAAACACCCTCTCCTTCAGTAATCCATTCCCACTGCCACAGCAACAGATGGGCAACTCAGAAGTTGGAGAGCCTCTGTGATGGCTTCAGGGATCTTCCCAGAAAGTACAGAACATGTCTCTGTCTTTCTCCTGGCTAGGCCCACCCAAGTTAGTCAATATCCAGGAGCCCCTTCCCCTTGTGCCTGACCTGGCGGTTTCAGGATACTAAAGTCCAGGGCCTTATCTTATGGCCCAGTAACAAAGTTATTTAGGGCAAAAATATTTCGGCTCGTAATAACCTAGGATTAGCGTTTCTTAGGATATGTAAAGATGGGGCATATTGCTGTTGAAAACTGTCAGCAATGAAACAGCAAAAGAAAAAATGGGGAAGAGGGAGGAGCTTAAGACCAATTGAGATCTGTTTCACTGAGAAGTTCAGGGCAGGAGCCCCTGCAACTCTAATTTAAAGCAAGGCCATTCACCAAACTTTTTTTTTTTGAGACAGGGTCTCACTCTGTTGCTCAGGCTGGAGTACAGTGGCACAATCTGAGCTCACTGCAACCTCCACATTCTGGATCCAAGTAATTCTCCTGTCTCAGCCTCCTGAGTAGCTGGGGTTACAGGCACACACCACCATGCCTGGCTAATTTTTTGTATTTTAGTAGAGACCAGGGTTTCATATGTTTCCCTGGCTGGTCTCTTGAGCTCAGGCAATCCACCCGCCTTGGCCTCCTGAAGTGCTAGGATTACAGGTGTGAGCCACTGCACCCGGCCCATTCACCAAACTTTAACCTGTCCCCAGGAAGAAGTAAGGGAGGTGTGTGTAAATGTTCCTTATTGGTTCTGGCATCTCCAGATAGACATAAATCCATGTGGCATAAAATGACTTGGATTGGGTACTGACTTAGTCCATTTTGTATTACTGTAACACAAAATGGGTCTGAGTGATTTACAAGTAAAGGGGTTTATTTAGCTCACACTTTTGCAGGCCGGGAAGTTGAAGGGAATGGCCATGCCTTCCGGTAAGGGCTTTTGCACTGCACTGTGACACTGCAGAGAAAGTCAGAGGGGAAGCAGACACGTGTGAAGAGGCAAAACTCAAGGGACATTCTGGCTTTATAACAACCCACTCTTGTGGATTTAATCCATTCCTGAGAGAACTAATCCACTTTTGCCAGAATGAGAACTCACTACTGTGAGAATGGTACCACGGCATTTGGGAGAAATCTGTCCTCTGTGACCCAAACACCTCCCATTAGGCCCTGGCTCCCAACACTGCCACATTGAGGATCAAATTTCAACATGAATTTTGGTGAGGACAAACTCAAACTACAGCAGGTGTTAATATGCAAATCTTGGAGGCTCAGACCCCAAGAGATTTGGCAATTTGTAGAACCCTTAAGGAACTTTGCCTTCTGAGTGATTTCAAAGCATTTGTCACATTGCTGTTCCATTCTGTCAGTACATATGTATATTGAACGCTGTGCTTATATAGCTTAATAATACTGTGTACATTTTCGGGTGCTGTTGCATATTTGCACTATCTGCTTTCAGTAATACCAAAGAGAATCATATCTTTTGCCAACCATCATGTGAGATGGGATAGGGCTGCCAGCACTGACAGTATTAAGGGTTGGTGATTCTGGAAAAACTGTTAGCAGTAATCAGAAGCAGTTCAACACGTGATCTGTGAGTAAGTGAACGCAGAAAA